CCGGAGTCCCCGGCAGGTAATGGTTAACAATGTCATAGCTCATAGCTGCCCACCATAAATATCATAGCTCATAGCTGCCCACCATAAATATCATAGCTCAGAGCTGCCTACCTTAACAATGTCACAGCTCAGAGCTGCCTACCTTAACAATGTCACAGCTCATAGCTGCCTACCTTAACAATGTCACAGCTCATAGCTGCCTACCTTAACAATGTCATAGCTCACAGCTAGCTGCCTGCCTTAATAATATCATAGCTCATAGCTGCCTACCTTAACAATGTCACAGCTCATAGCTGCCTACCTTAACAATGGCATAGCTCACAGCTGCCTACCTTAACAATGTCATAGCTCACAGCTGCCTACCTTAACAATGTCATAGCTCATAGCTGCCTACCTTAACAATGTCATAGCTCACAGCTGCCTACCTTAACAATGTCATACATGTAGCTCACAGCTAGCTGCCTGCCTTAACAATATCATAGCTTATAGCTTCCTCCCTTAACAATGTCATAGCTCATAGCTGCCTACCTTATTGTCAAAGGTGTCAAAAAGGACAGTACAATGCCGTCAATCAGTTGGGGCTGGTCCATGTCTGAGTGGTCCACCAAGGCTCAGTTAAACTTGGTTAACTGGTCTAGCACTTTGTTACTGAGAATGGCCTCTCCCACAGACATGACAGACAGGACGAGATCTGGCTGGTTGATCTTGATGAGCTGTTTCAGGAGAAAGAAAAACTATCAGCAAAGGAAACATACGTTGCTACACTGAATCACACGGGTGTGGTACATTCTAAAATTTAAAGAGCCACGGCTTGCCAGTGCAGCTTCTCTTTAAGTTATATTACTTAAGCTTCCTGTCAGGAAACATTGACAACAAAGAGGACAGCTCACCTTGGATAGAGCTCTCATGAGTGGCTCGTTGTCTTGCATCCGCCCAGTTGTGTTGATCAACACAGCATTAAAGTGGCAATCTTGAGCTAGGAGCAAACACAAACTATTTAAACTGTTACACCGTGACTCACTCAGTAATGGGTCTGTGCATGATTGATAGAGGGCTGTGTAGGTCTGCTCATTTGGTTTTCCAAAGCAGACCTTAAAAGAGACCAAGAACAAATGTGTCATACTCCATCAGTAAACAAACAAAATTACAAAAGGAAGTAAGCCATGTAACTAATCCATCAACTAATAATATGACATCATATTCATCATCATGTCTTCATGTTCAATCAAAAATGAAGTACCATATTTTTTCAGCCGGTAAGAAATCATGTACTTCTTAATGGCTTCCATGGCAATACCAGCTGCATCCTTTCCATAACCTTTCTCATACAGCTGGACCGGAGAGCGCCCTCCATGTTTCTCTGCTGGATGCAGTGCATTCAGGTGTCTGGTGTAGATGTGCAGTTGTTCAACGGCACCAGCTCGAAATGTATTGCAGGCTGCAATCAGGCTGCAAGCCATTCTCCACTAACCGAAACATATCTGAGAAAAATGAATAATGGTTCTTAATATCAATTGCTTGCAAAGTTCATTGAATATTAACCTCCATAAACTGTCACCTTCACCAACAAAAGCAAAAATCAAAGGCCACATACCGAGTTGACAAATTGGCATTTTGGAACAAACCCAATAATAACCTGAATTTAACAATCACAACAAGCAAGGCTTCATCTGAATCTGATGTCTAAAGATAGGTCTAGGTCTTTACTCCATTGGAAGTACAGGGAAACGCACAGATAATAGACGCAGCCATAGCTCTGGAACCCATTACGGCCTAGGACTAAGTAGAATCAAATGCTGGTTCACCTAGTGATTTTTCGATATCTTTATATCAAAGGCTATTCTGGTCCAAGTCCAAAAGTGTGTTTTCGCACGAATCAACTGTTGACTGACGTGTCTCGTCGTGCCACCTTGAAGCCACATCCAAAGGTTTTTGGCAAACAATGCATGACTTGGGATACAAATATGGCATCATACACAGGTCACAAACAGTGTTCTCCATTACCAGCTTTTTATGTTTAGTGTAGGGGGTGAGATCTCATTGAGGGGGTTGGCAAGTGTGAGGGGGGGACTGGATATTATTTGACACCTGGTGGCGCTGTTCCAAACACTTAAGTAAATCAAGGGTGCAGTCCACTAATTCAAGCAATAATTTCCGCCAGGCTCATTAGCACTAAAAGTGCCCCCACAGTATCATTTGAAAATGGGGATTGTTTGGCCCCCAAAATGGTGAGATTGTGTAAATCATTGCCAGGATCAACTCCCTGGGTCTTTGAGCTTTCATATGAGAGCAGAAGGGCTAAAAACTATGGTTGAAAAATGGTCCTAAGTGCCCAAGAAAGTTGAGGGTTGCCACTTGAAAAATGGCTGCAATCAGACTTTGGAAAAATCACTTTTTGGGGGGTGATTTTGTTTTGCGGGAAAAATTAAAAATGTAATAGGTTAACCCACAAAAAATTGAAAAAAAAACTGAAAGATTAATGACTGAATAATAATTACATTTTTGTGTGGAACACCTCAAGGATGTTGGCTTGCATTTTATTGAGCTCTGAAGAATGGTGATTTTACACTGTTTTCAATGGGGCTTAAATTAGTGGACTGTACCCTATATTTCAAAATGGCGGCCACTATGCACTCATGGTGGCGGACATTTAAAAATGGTTTCTTCGGTCAGCAGCAGTCGTAGCAGTGGCGGAGAGACAACAGCAAGTCTTGGAAGACAGTCTTGTGGATTTTCACACATCAGAGACATCTTTTATTGGCAGCAATAATTAACAGGTGAAGAAAGAGTTCAATTTTATGTTAATTATGTACATTGTAATGTGCAATGTGGAAAACTTGAATTTTTTTAAAAATAAACTTTTCAACCAATGACAATATCTAGCCTTTGGCGTGCGCTTGAGCGTTTTGCTCTATTCAGAACAAAATGGAGGATGATGAATGTGATGCCTGGTGTGCTAAAATGTTAGCTCGACTGAAGAAAAAATCTCGACTGAAGCCTTCTACAGGCTGCTGGCACTGGGTTGGATGTGTGAAACAGACCAAGGGGAGAGGTGGTAATTATGGGAGGATAAATGTACTCCTCCCAGGGGCAAATACACACACAAGGATGAGTGCACACAGGCTGGCTTACATCGTACATACCAAGAACTTTACATTATCTCGGGAGTACGATGTAAGCCATCTTTGCCACAATTCCTTGTGTGTAAATTTTGACCACCTCTCCCTGGAACCACATGCCATCAACAATACACGAAGAAAGTGCCATAAGAACAGAGCATGTGCAGGGCATGGCAATAACCCAAAGTGCCTGCGGTAATCAATGTAAGTTCAAGTTGAGCCTGTCCAACAGCCTAACCCTAGCAGGGCCTAACCCTAGCAGGGGCTAACCCTAGCAGGGCATAACCCTAGCAGGGCATAACCCTAGCAGGGCATAACCCTAGCAGGGGCTAACCCTAGCAGGGCATAACCCTAGCAGGGCATAACCCTAGCAGGGCCTAACCCTAGCAGGGCCTAACCCTAGCAGGGGCTAACCCTAGCAGGGCCTAACCCTAGCAGGGCATAACCCAAGCAGGGCATAACCCTAGCAGGGCATAACCCTAGCAGGGCATAACCCTAGCAGGGCCTAACCCTAGCAGGGCATAACCCTAGCAGGGCATAACCCTAGCAGGGCATGACCCTAGCAGGGGCTCACCCTAGCAGAGTGTAACCCTAACATCGGTATGTAACCCTAATGACACCAACCTCAAAGAAACTTGCTACAAGTACATTTTACAGTAATTGTGTTCGTTGTAGATATTTTGCTTACGTTCATTGTCTTTGGAGTGAAATTCCTTGTTTGGTCTGGGATTTGAAATTTCTTGTTTGGTCTGGGATTTAATTGCCCCGGATTA